ATATACCCTCTCTCTCTCTCTCTCTCTCTCTCTCTCTCTCTCTCTCTCTCTCTCTCTCTACGCCTTTAGCTGAAATGATAACAATGTTCTAAATGATGGGCTTTATAAAAAAGGAAAGGAAAAAAAAAAAATCTCTACTTCATATCACAAGCCGAGAGTAACATGAGATCATAAAGAGCAAAAAAAAAAAGATAAAAAAGGTTTGAGAAATTATGGCGGGTCATGGATCGTCATCATCATCATGTGGAGCATGCAAGTTTCTAAGGAGGAAATGCAGATGCGAATGTGTGTTTGCTCCGTACTTACGATCAAGCATCGACCCATTTCGAGGCAGTTCACAAAGTGTTCGGAGCCAGCAATGTGTCGAAGCTTTTGTCGCAGTTGCCCTTACAAAACAGAAGCGCTGCTGCCATTACCATATCTTACGAGGCTCTTGCCCGTATCAGAGACCCTATTTATGGCTGCGTCTCTCATATATTAGCTCTCCGACAACAGGTCCATTGCTAAAAGAAGAAACTTTTATTTATTTAGTTTGTTTCATAACGAAAATGCCCCAATAGAATAATTTGATCTTTGTTTGTTTGGTGATTGTGTTTAGGTGATGAGCTTGCAAGAAGAGATCGAGCTTCTAGGAACCCAGATGTGCAATTCTCCGTGTTGTCAGGTCCCACCATACCAAAGCAACAAGACACAGCAACGACACGTGTCACAGTTTCAACCAATCAATACGCCAAATCTTCAGAATCAAAGAGGTGAACCTGTCAGCGTAGACACCAGTTTAAGGGATCAGATCAGGCGTGAACAACTTGCTGAGGATTGTCTCCATGATCAGTTCTGCACCGATGCAGAAGCCTTCGTGAACCATCCATGGCTTGACATGGATTATTACGCGGCATTGATGGACGTGGAGAATTCAGCGTGGAACTGAGATTAGGTTAGGAGATGGAAAAGGAGTGTAACAAGAGGAAACTCCTCCGGTTCCATATGTCAGGATTCAGGAACAAGTTTTGTTTTGTTCATCGTCGTTGTCGTGATTATCGTTAAGTTCGAATGGAAGCCAAAATATCAACAGTCTGAAATTCATTTTTCGTAGACTCAGAGAGATTAAAGTTCCGGTTAACGGACTCTCGGTTCGGTTAAACGAATGATTGTACCGAATTAAATTCCAATTTATCCATGTTAATAGATTTTGGATATTTGAATTTTAAGTATTCGAAAAAATATATGGATATCAGTGATATGGAATGCAGAAATTAAAAATAATTTTATAATTTAAATGATTTAGTTTTTTTTTTGTAATTTTAAGAAAAACATGTGGGCAATTTTATAATTTTAAAAAATATAAAATATACAAGATAGCGAAATGGTAAAATCTAAATTTGGAATCGGTTTATGGATTCATAATTTTGAATTTGAATCAAATTGTTTGGAATTCGAAAATCTGATAATTTTGCAGATATATTAACAGTAAAATTTGGCTCAATAAGATTATAGGCGCCGAGAGGAAAATTCTGATAGAGAAAAAGACGGAAACAGAGACAAAGACTTACCGAAATCTTAACTGTGACTTAGGCTTCGTGGTTGTCGGGAACTCAGTTGGTGCGAATAGGATTAAGGTTTAATTTCACACTATGATGATGATTAAAATTTTAAATTAATTTTCTTTGTGTGTTTTTCATCCTGAAAAATACTACTCCAATGATCTGGTCAGAGTTGGGCCTATGGCCCAAAATTTTGAGACCCCCTAATAATGCAACATCATCATCATCATCATCATTATTATTATAACAAAAGTATCTTTTCCTCCTAAAAAATTATCACTCTAGGTTAAAAATATACAGCTTATAATTGTGGAGACGAAGATCCGTTTACTTATTTAACTTAATTTAAATAAAATTGATATTAATTTTATACATATGATTTCAATAAAATTAGATGAATGCCTTTTATTTTTCTCTTTAGTTAGTTGATAATTTAGAGAGAGAGAGAGAGAAAATAACAAATTGATCTAATTTTTTATAGGAAAAACACAAAGCTCAAAAAATGAAAAAAATAAATCAATTAGATCTGTGAAAACATGAGGAAGGGAATGGATAAATAAAATTTGAGAAATGTAACTTTTTTTTTTTTATAACATTGGGGAACCCCCGTGACTACCTACCCTTACAAACGGAGACGAACTGGCCACCACCCGCGCCTAACAGTCCCCATGGACCTCAGTCCGCCGGACCTGGCCACCACACTACAAAAAAAACCCCAAATTCCAACCGGCAAATCCGTTGGAAATAGCCGAAAATCCGTTGGAATTCAACTTTTCCAACGGATATATCCGTTGGAATTTCGTCGTTAGAAATCGGTGTCCGTTGGAATTCCGTGGCAAATTCCAAACGGAATTCCAACGCCTTCATCCGTTGGAATATTTCAACGGATTTCCAACGGTTTTTCCGTGGTATATTTTCAACGGAATTCCAACGGATTTGTTCGTCGGGATATATCAACGGAAATTCCAACGGACATCCGTGGCTACTTTCCGACGGGACCGTTAGAATATCCATTAGAAATTTTCCAACGGATTTACAACGGCATTTGCCACGGATATCCGTTAGAATATCCGTTGGAAACGCCGTCGAAATGTTACAACGGTATTTACAACGGT